AGGCTGGCATCCAAAGAGCTTATCCTGGCCCGGGGACGCAGCACAGTGGCAGAGCACTTGCCCAGCATTTGTGAGGCCCTGGGTTCTATCCCCAGAACTATAAAGAGAACAGAAAAACCTGAAAAAATTGTGTTCAAATACACTTATTCTAAATTTGACTATTACTATATAAATATTTTTTGTTGTTTTTTGAGATAGGGTCTCCCTATATAGCCCCAGCTGGCCTGGAACTCTCTGTGTAGACCAGGCTGACCTCTATCTCACAGAGATCCACCTGTTTCTGCCTCCTGAGTGCTGGGATTAGAGGCATGTACCACCAAGCCCGGCTCTATAGAACCATTTTTAAGGGTGCAGTTGTGTGTCATTAATTACTGCCCCATTGTTTCCTGGTGCTACTGTGCTCCATCCACAGAACTTTATCGTCTTGCAAAACTTAGACACTTTCAAGCTTTCAGACACTTTTTTTTCATCTTGTCAGATGAGGTGATTCAGAGAGCTCAGAGTTCACTTTCAGCTGGGATGGAGAGATACATATTTGTAACTTAAAATCTGTGCCTTTTTACTACACATTCCACAACCACTTAAAGGTTTTATTAGGGTGGGGTTATAGTTCAAGCAGCATGAGGCCCTGGGTTCTATACACACACACACACACACACACACACACACACACACACAAATCAAAAGGTTAATAAATCTGTAATCATCAGTGTGCTAGTTTTTGCTAACAACACAAATTAGTTACCTGGGAAGAAGGAACCTTAATTGAAGAATTTCTTCCAGCCAGTTGGCCTGTGGCCATGTCTGTGAGGTATTTTTCTTAGTTGTTAATTGATGTAGGAGAGCTCAGACCACTGTGGGTGGTGGTGCCATCCCTGGGCAGGTGGGTCTGGGCTGTATAACAAGGGTAGCTGAGCAAGCCAGGGAAGCAAGCCAGTCAGCAGCTTCCACCATAGTTTCTGCTTCAGCTCCTGCTCCAGGTTCCTGCCTGAGCTCCTGCCTTGATGTCCCTCAAAGATGAACTGTGCTTTGGAAGTGTAAGGTGAAATAAACCCTTGCCTCCCCAAGTTGGTTTTGGTCAGTGTTTTATCACAGCAGTATAAAGTAACCAGGACAATCAGTTCCTATCAGATTGTATGCATATGTGTGTTCCATGTAAGGTGTAAAATATGTTTTTGTTTTTGTTTTTTTGTCTTTTTGAGACAGGGTCTCCTTGTAGCTGCAGCTGTCCTGGAACTCACTATGTAGACCAGGCTGGCCTTGAACTCACAAAGATCCGCCTGCCTCTGCCTCCCAAGTGCTGGGATTAAAGGCGTGCACCACCATGCCCAGCCAAATATGTATTTTTATGTTTGCTTTTGCTACAAGTTTTGTAGACCTCTTCTGGCATTTCTTGCTTTTATGTGCTGCTAACCTCCAAATGTGAGATAACTTGGGCCCTTCACAAGGTCTTGGGGAGACATCCCTGTCCTGGGAGGAGGCCCTATGTACTGGTTCTCCAGGCTGCCTGGGGAGTAGCTGGGTTAATCCCCTCCCCTTGCTGGCTCCTCCTCTTGTGTAGTCAGCTAAACCTATCTTTAGCATCAGGGTTAGTCGTCTCTCCTCTGGCCCTCAGATCAGTCCTGAGGGGATGGGATTCTCAGCTGACAGGTGCTGACCCCAAGGATCACAGTAAGCCAGGTCTCCGAGCAGCAGCAGTACTTGTGTGTGAGCTGTCCCTTGCTGTGGCCCAGATGCCAGAGCAGCTGCTTCTGACTTCCATCTTCTTCCCTCCAGACAGAGCCAGCAGCTCTGCTGAGGCCACCACAGAGTCCCCTCTGAGAAGCACTGTAAGTCCTGCACTTCTGTTACTGAGGGAACACAGCTGTCCCTGGAGGTCATCTTTAGTCCATTTGGAGGCAGTCCAGGTATTGTGGTGGGAGGATTTTGGAGGAGGCAGGGGTGTGCCTAGCCCTCTAAATCTGGCACTACCAGACACTCGATGGTGGTCACACCTTAATTTCCTGTTCTAAAAACAGCAACTCTAATACCTGTTCTGCCTGCCGTTTTTTCGTGGTGATGTGTGCTATCTCGGTGTGAGCATGGTCCATAAAGTCCGAGTGGAGTGTACGGTGCTATTACCATCAAGGCATGAAATTTTTGCTCGTGCTCATGGTTTTGCAAATTACCAGTGGGCTCCCAGCAACATGTAGGAGCCAGGGAGGACTACACTTGTGGGTGATGTAGGGTATAAAAACTGCTGTAGACCTGACCTAACCCCATGCCAGGCAGGGCCTCCCATGAGGCTGGTCTCAGCTCTCTGAAGAGATCTCTGGGAAACCCATCAATCTGACAGGGCAGCAGTAAGAATGCCTCCCATGTGTATAATGAGGGCCAAGGATATTCTTGTGCTCTAAATGGACAGGCTAGGGGGGGTGCATCCCAAGCCAGCTCTGGGAATCTAGGTGGGGAGTACTGAGGGGCTACCCCAGGTGAACTTGAATCACCTTCAGGCTCATCAGAGCAAATTTCATTGTGGGGAATTTTCTGCCTATTTTATATGTACCATTGATAATTAAATTTTTTTAAATTATATTTATTTATTTATTTATTGTGTATGAGCATTTTGTCTGCATGTATGTAAGTGTGCTTATGTTGTGCAGTGCCCAAGGAGGTCAGAGAGGGCATTGGATCCCATGGAACTAGAGTTACAGGTGGCTGTTACCCATCATGTGGATGCTGGGAACCAAACTCAGGTCCTCTGCAAGAACAGCCAGTGCTCTTAGCCACTGAGTCATCTCTCCAGTCCCCAGGCCAGAACTTTGAATCCCTGCTCTGCCAAGGCAGTGTGGCCTTGGGGAAATGGGCAGTATGGTCTCTCAGCTCTCTCACCCATGAAAGGGCACCAGCTTTACAGAGCCTGGGTTGCATGAGGGTTAGTTGTGGGGCAGAGGCACAGTATAGAGTCAGCACCTGAACACTGCTTTCCCTCTCTATCACAGCCCCTGCTTGGTGGATGCTGGATTTTAGGTACCCTGCTCTCAGCTCCTGCTGGAGGGACATGAGGTCCCTAGAAGCCCCAAGGAACTGGGCTCTAGGAGCCCACGGAGGTCCCTGTTTGGTGGTAAGGCTCATGGCTGTGTTTCCTTTCCTGCCTTTCCTTCTTCACTCCAGCAGTGCTTTCTGGGCAGGTCTTCAGGTAAACTGCTTGCCCTGGAATCCTATCTCAGGGTTGATGGTGGGGGGCACAGGAATGTTTTCAGGATTGTATTAGTCAGCTTTCCATCTCTGAGACAAAATGACCCAGATAAGGAAGGGAAGATCTACTTTGACTCACAGTTTCGGAGATTTCAGACATTGGTAACTTGGCCCACATCCCTATGGGCCTATGGTGAGGCAGAATGTCATTGTGGGAGCAAATGGTAGAGCAGAGCTGCTCACTTCACCACAGCTGGGAAGCAAAGAGAAGGGGAGGAAGGGCTGAGGTTCCATGTTCCCTCCACAGGCTTGCCACCAGTGACCTAGTTTCCTCCCACTTGTCCTACCTCCCAGAGCTTCCACCACCTCCCAACAATACCAATAGCACCTTGGGCTGTGGACCAAACCCTGGCAAACCTTTATGAAGTCTCCAAACTCTAAGCCAAAATAAACTTTTTTCTCTAAGTTTATTATCTCTGTCATTTTATTATGGTAAAAAGCAAGCAAACTAATCCAAAAGGAAGGTGCCAGAATGGTTTCTGGTAAGGCCACTTTGCCTGTCATGTCTTTGTGTTGTGGCTTTCTTCCATGCACACACCGAGAGTGAACTGTCTTCTTTCTACAAGGACTCTGGGCCCATGGATTATGGGTGCACCCTTATAACCTCACCTATTCATTATTGTCTCTTTGCATAAGCCCTGTCACCAAATGCAATTACTTTAGAGGTTAAGAATTCAACATATAAATATAGACTATATGGACAATACAGTCCACAATATCTCCCAACATGATATGGAACTTTATCATTTATCTTTTATTTCTTTTGTTTTTCATTGTTGAGAATTGCATCCAGAACCCTGTATGTCTAGTACTGTTCTGGTTGCTTTCTGTTGCTGTGATAAAACACTGACCAAAACTAACTTCTGGAGGAAACGATTTATTTCATCTTACATTTCCAGGCCATAGTTCATCACTAAGGGAAGCTGAGGCAGGATCCGAAGCAGCAACCATGGAAAAATGCTACTGACTGGCTTGCTCCCCTGGCTTGCTCAGCTACCTTTCTTAAACAGTCCAGGCCCACTTGCCCAGGGGTATCACAGTCACCAGTGGGGCTGGACCTCCCACATCAATTAGCAATCAAGAAAACGCCCCACAGACGTGGTCACAGGCCAATCTGATGGAGAAAATTCTTCAGCTGAGATTCCCTCTTCCCAGGTGTGTTAAGCTAAGTGAAGCTGCTGCTAAGCTACATCTCCAGTTCTCTGTGTGCTTTTGTTCTCTCTCTCTCTCTCTCTCTCTCTCTCTCTCTCTCTCTCTCTCTCTCTCTCTCTCTCTCTCGTGTGTGTGTGTGTGTGTGTGTGTGTGTGTGTGTGTGTGTGTATCATGTCTCAGTTCTCTCCTGAAAACTGCAGTTCTACATGACTAGGGCTCTGGATTCCTGAACCAGTGCTCAGATCCTTGCAACTGTCTGGGATGAAGACCAGAAAGTGGGGCGCAGGACAGTTTGCAGGAGCTGGTGCTCACTGCGCTACTGCCTGGGTCTCCCCTTGGGCTGTCAGACCCCAAAGGTGAAGGTTGCTGAGCCTAACAGCTCTCATCCCTCCTTCAGCTGTCAGAAGTCAACCAGGAAAACCTGAAGCGGACTGGGAATTGTCGTTAGGTGTGAAAAAGCATCAAAGCACGAAACACCTGTTTAGAGGTGACCTATCTTCAGCAATGCTTTAAAGAAGTTTTAAACTAAGTGGCCCCCCAGGGCCCCGCCCTACGGGCAGAGCTCCGTCGGCCGCCCCATTCTGTGGCCCCGCCCCGTTCTGTGGTCCCGCCCCATCCCTTGGCCCTGGCGCAGGGGCAGGGTGCGGCTGGCCTGGGCGGCCGCTCTTCCCTCTTCCTCCCGCCTCAGGGCCTCGGCAGAGCCTGGCGCGTTCTGCCACCTTGATTTCACCGCTCGCCCGCCCGGAGAGGACCGGTAAGCGTGTGGCAGAGCCGGACTGGGAGCGGGGGAGGGAGAGAGATAGCCGGGCGCCACGGGGGCTGCGGAAGGGGCGTGGGGCGCTGGGCTGGGCCGGGCTGTCCTGTCCTCTCCCGAGGCGGCACCCTCACTTCTGGGGTCAGCCCGCTCTGCTCCATCCCCTCCCCGGTGTTCGTGCTGAGCCTCCTGAGTCCAGAGACCAGACTCGGGGTGTCACAGTTGGCTCCTCCATCAACCCCAGAATATCCCTGCAGACCCCACCGCAGGCTCCGCGAGCTGTTCTGCGCACCTAGTAAAAACGGCCAGGGGTACCAAGCTGGGCATCTTGCAGAGTTCTGTGGACACCTCCATTCACAAGAGCCTGTCTAGGAATCTCTTAAAACCAGAGGTTCTCAAACTGCTTCGCCAGAGACCACTTAGATTTGCAGACTCTCCATCCTGCCCCAGATACTTGGAGGTGGGTCCTAGGTCTCCCTAGCGCTGCTGCAGTTTAAGCTGCGGTTTAACAACCTCCGGGTAGAGCCTTGAAGGAGCCTACACTGGGGGGCGGGGGGGCAGTGCCCTATAAGAAAAACACATTACAGTAGGTTACAGTAGTCTTCCCTTATCTGAGGGGGGCACCTAAAAGGGTGCCTGAGTCTGGGGATAGTACCAGACCCCATGTATTCCGTTTTCCCTGTGTATACATACCTCTGGTAGAATTTCACTTATGAAAAATGCCCTGATATACCTGTCAGCATCACTACTCTTATGCTTTAAGGCCATTATTGAGTAGAATAAAGGTTGCCAACAGCGCTGTGATACCCTAACAATTGTTGACTAACAGGTAGGCAACATAGACAGCATGAATATGCTGGACAGAGAGATGCTGCACGTGCTAGTGGGAGAAAGCTGATGGTTACAGATTTCATCACACTGCTCAGGACGGAACACAATTTAAAACTCATGAGTTGTTTATTTCTGGAATATTTTTCTCGATGGTTTTGGACTACAAATGGTTGCAGGTAACTGAAACCTCAGAAAGTGCAATGTAATGAAGGGTTCTACTGTAGTCCATGTAGTTGTCACGTAATATTTCCCCATTGGACAGGTGAGGTCCTAGAGGCACGGAGAGCTTAACTCTTTCAAGGCCACACATCTAGGAAGAGAAAGAACTGGGATTCTAACCCTGAGGTGGGGCTCTAGTACATTTCTACTGGGATGGAGGGCCTATGAAGTCAAGGAGGTAAAGGCCAGAGGTGCTGTTTCCTTATTGTTTGCAGGCAGCTGAGAGGCAACACATCCGTTCTATTACCTTGGCCCACCTAGTTTATGGTCAGAATGTCCCTGTTTCAGTCTTTGGTGAACATTAGTTTGTATGATATACCAGAACCATCCTCCACAGAGGGATGTGTTAGCACTAAGGTGCTGAGCAGGTGCGCCTGCAAGCCAACATTCAAGGCTGGCCAGTCTCTCTGGGTGATGAGATACTTTTCAATGGCAGTATTTAGTCCTGTGGTCTGATTGGGGACAGGTGTCACTGTTGTCAGCTGAAAGAGTCAACGTCACACAATATGTGGGGCTCTGGCCACAGTCAGCCCTGCCACAGCCCCTCTCAAAGTCTGCAGACCTGTGGGAGGCTCTTTAATCACTGCCACCCAGTACTGGTGCTTCTCGGCCTCCACCCTTGACAGTGGGCTGCAGGACTGGTCTGTAGCAGGATTGTGACAACAAACACTGCCTGTATTGAGGGGCAAACTGACCCTGACCTACCCTAGAGTCAGTACTCACCTCTACTCCAGCTTCACTCCTCCTTTGTACTAAACAACAAGAAGTTTCTGTGGATCCACAGCCCATTCCATATAGGAACCACCTCTGTTTTGTCTTACAGGGCCTGGTTTGTTTGCCTGTATTCATTTTTAATGACAGGATATGTTATTAAATGCCACATAATATGACATTTGAGCACATCATAAAACACTCCAATATTCTCAGGGAAGCTGAGGGGCCTTTGGACATCTGCACAGGATGGGAAGTTCCTGATGACTGATCAGGGTTTCCTACACCTGGAGGGGGGCACAGAACAAGTGTACATGAGTGCTTGATGCTGACTGCTGGGGCAGGTGACTCCTTGCACCCCTCCATCCCCCACTCCCATGCATACACTGGCCAATTGGTCAAATATCCCTCCCTCTCCCCTTCTCTCGCTCCGTCTCTGTCTCTATCTCTATCTCTGTCTCTCTCCCTCCCTCCTCACCCCTCTCTGCACTGTGTGCTTATGGGGTGGGGATGATGAAGTCTGAATAGTCACTGCCAAGTCAGTTGGTGTGCTGCCTTAAGTCTGCATGTGCTTTGGGGCCCCCTGGTGGTGAGAGGAGACACTGGACCCTGGTTACAATTGGCTCTGCTGTTCATGACTGCTGGGCTTCAGTTTCCCCTGGGGAGGGCCCCAACTACTTTCCCTCCTTCCTGTTGGTTTTCCTCTTCCCGGTTGTCCTAGTTGATTTGTAGGAGCACTCCATTTTTCTTTGCACACTCAACCTTGTCTTTCCTACTGGCTCCAAATATTCTCTTTGACTTTCTTTTTTTAAAGATTTAAAAAATCATATTTATTATTTATGTGTGCATGCATGTATGTGCCACAGTACACAATGGGGATCAAAGGACAGCTTTCTAGTCAGTTTGTTTCCCCACCATGTTGGTCCCAGGGATCACACTCAAGCCGTCATGCTTGATGGCAAACACCTTTATCTGAGCCATCTCAAAGCCCCTAGACATACTTTCTTTTAAATTTTAATCAAAATTGTCCTGCAGAATGTTTAAACTTTGATGTACTTGAATTAATCTTTTATTCCCTCTTTCTTTTCTTCCTGTTGTCTTCAGAATCCATGATTTAGGATCAAAAGACTTTTATAATTTATTGTTATTATTTTATTTATTTGTTTATTTTTTGGTTTAGTCTTTCTATGCTCCTCCACATCCAAGTTCTGCCCTGCCCTGCCTTGCAGGCAGAGGGCACCTAAGCAAAGCAAACACCCCTCTCCCTGTCCTTGAGACCTGTAGGTGTCTGTCTGCAAGAAGAGGCTCCCCCTCCTGGCTTTCTAGACACCAATCCAGTGCTCCAAGTGCTGACCACACAGGTGGAGTCTTTAACCGTATTTGAGAGCCTGCTTTCCTCAGTGGTCGCTCCCCATTCATGTGCACAGCTAATAAGACTTACATATTTCCCAAATTCCTTGAACATTTGCAACTTTTTTTTTCCACTATGAATGATATTTTCACCAGACATTTAAGAATTAATTGAATGTTTATCATACTCTTCTAAATATTGAATTATAGCCATAAATCGAGTACATCTAGCTCCTGTAATATTTTTTGATATACACAAAGTTATAGTGCTAGTAACTTGTGTTAGTTATGGTACTTGCACTTACATTCAAGTTGGTTAGAAAGGCTCAAATGTCAGAGGTGGGGATGCAGAGGTGGCCCTCTGTATCTAGGGGCCTTTCATCTGTAGAGTCAGCCAGTCTTGGATTGAAAATATTCAGCTGGCTGTGGTGGTACAGGCCTTTAATCCTAGCACTCCAGAGGTAGGGGCAGAGAGATCTCTATGAAATCGAGGTCAGCCTGATCTACATAGTGAGTTCCAGGCCAGCTAAGGTTACAGGTCTCAAAAACGAACGAACGAACGAACGAACGAACGAAAGAAAGAAAGAAAGAAAGAAAGAAAGAAAGAAAGAAAGAAAGAAAGAAAGAAAGGAGAAGGAAGGAAGGAAGGAGAGAGAGAGAGGGAAGGAAGGAAGGAAGGAAAGAAAGAAAAGAGGGAGGGAGGGAAAATATTCAAAGAAAACAGGTATGCCTGCACTGAGTATTTACCCACCTTGTGCTTGCCATATGATTTGAGCATCACACAGCTGTTTACCTATGTTAGGGCCTGTGTTAGGCATTGTCATAACTAGAAAGCACACAGGAGGATGAATTGAGGTTCTGTGCAGATGCCATACTGTCTGGCATAAGGAACTTGAGAGTCTGACAGTTACAAGCCATTCTGGAACTCCCTGTGCCCTGCCCTACAGACACCCAAGGACAACAGAGTTCCTTATCTTTATGACTCATAGTCCTTCCTGGTGGTGTTTTCTTAAATTTCTCTAATTTCCCTACTACTGTTGTTTTTCTGGCGTTTTAGGAATCACACCAAATTTAAACAGAATGGACTTGCAGTCTCTAGCAGTCACAGTTGCTGTCTGCTTATCCACAGGTTGATTCTGGACTGGGAACTGGTTGCTGGCCTTGCAGCCCCGGAGAGGGAGCCTAAGGCTCAGCCTGGTGGGAAGCCCCGGCTCCTCCTGACCTGGTTTCTGAGTATATTTGGAAGTTCATTTATGGCTTACCTGAATCTCAGTGCAGTTAGTGGGTCAACCAGAGGTGGTGGTGGTAGTTTTTGTTTGCTTTTTGAGATGTGCTTGCTGTGTTGCCCAGGCCAACCTTAGATTCCTAGACTGGACCACTCTTTCTAATTTCAGCCTCCTGAGTAACTGGGGCTGTACATGCATGCCACCAAGCTGGTCCCATGCATTTCCTGTGCACCTGGGCATCAGCAGTGGGTGCGTGGCTCCTGCTTCTCTGGTTGCCTGGTTCTTAGAAAATGGTTTGGGAGTCTCTTTAATTGCTTATCTCAGCTGAGCAACTGTGGATACTTCCCCCTGCCTGATTAGTCTGTGGCACTAGACAGACTGGGTTTTCCTGTCTGGTTCCCACTTTTCTACCACTTTTGGACTTGTCCACTTATCCCTGCTTATGTACAAGACGGGGACTTGTCTCCTGGTGAAATAACTTTGAAGTGACACAGTCAGCAGAATGCCTGACTGAGCAATCAGATTGGCCTCACTAATATGAGTGAGATGAGTCAGTAACAGACTGCTTCATCCTTTATAGGTTTTGATTGACTTTGTATATTCTTTTACTGTATCAGTCTTTATTGAGTTTATATGTTCACTATTAATTTTAACTTTTCTCTATTTTTTCAAAATCCCGCCCCCCCCCCCCATATTCGGGATGGACCTGAAGGTTGTGTGGATGCTAGGCAAGTGTTCCACCACACTTGTTACAGCCCCAGCCCAGCTTTTCTCTTCTGATAGCCTACCAGAGGTGGTGGTAGTTTTTGTTTGCTAATGAACTCGTGGCTTTTTGTACATTTAACTGTTAAGTGTCAGTTTTGAGCTAGGAGGCAGCTCAGTGGTATAGTGGTTGCCTAGAATGTACAAAACCCTGGGTTTGATCCCTGACAACACCAAAAAATAATAAAATGGCATAATAAATACAAAAGGAAAAGGAATTAGTGACATTTGGAGCTGGGCTGTGGTTCACTTGGTAGAATACCTGCCTGGCATGCATGAAGCACTGCGTTTAATCTCAGCCCTGCATAAATGGGCATGGGGACAGATGCTTGCAATCCCAGCGCTGAAGAGGAGGAGGCAGGAGGAAGAGAAGTTCAGGGTCATCCTTGGCTACATTTGACTTTTGAGACCAGCCTGGGTTACATGAGTCTCCTTTGTACAGTGTCTGTTATTATTTGATACAGACATTGCCTCAATTGGACAATGACTCTGTTTATACTTTTCCTTCATTTTAGCCACAACTCTGACATGCTGTAAGGCATCTTGCACTGGACAATACCAATGAGTTATGGGATGCATTCCCCCCAGGATCTTGAGGGAAGGCCTACCCTTTGAACTACTTTTAAATCTGTGTGTGTGTGTGTGTGTGTGTGTGTGTGTGTGTGTGTGTGTATGTGATAAAGTTCACGTTGGTTTTGGCTGTTTGATGCAGTAAACCTGGCTGTCCTCTGAGCACATGGCAGAGGACGTTTCTGTCCCACCTGGGCAGTCTTCTGCCCTCAGCTGTGTCCCCTAGGGAAGGTCATGGTAGGCTCTTTTAGAGTCACAGAGCAAGAGCTTAGCAGTTATCTTTTAGTGTCTAATGCATTCTACAATGATGATTCATCATTTCTCAGTGTGCTGGGACGAATCTCAGCTTCGTGAGGGTCTGCTGGAGTCACTGGCCCTGAATACTTGAGCATATACGGTCCTACCTCCCTCCTGCCCAGTGCCTCCAGTGCCCACATTTACAGCTTTGCCCACTGCTCTGAGGCCATGCCCTGCTGCCTACCACTGTCTCACTCCTTACAGCCATGGCCGGCCCTTCAGATTCAGCATGTCCCACCCTATGCCCTTGGAATTGATACTCTGCCTCGGGGATCTTCCTTGACTTTTGCACAATTCGGGTTCAGGGGTTCCTCAAGTTCTTTGAACATGTTAAAGCAGCCACTTTGGGGAGTTTTTGTTAACTGTGTGGGGCATATTTTCTTATATCATATTTGTTGAAATGAATTTGTTTTTATGTCTCACTTCTTGAAAACTGGGTATTTTAACTGACTGAGTCATTTCTGCCATGGTTGCCGCCTGCCTGGTGACTCCTGAAATCACTGCACGCCATTCTGTGCTGTGTGTGCCTCTCGTGCTGAGTCATCTTCTAATGACCCTGCGCCAGGAACAAGCCAGTCATCAGACCCACTGAGGGGTGCTCTGGGCATGCTGGGGCCCTCCCTGCTCATCCTCGGGCCCTTAGTGACCCCCATTAGCCTTCGCCTCCTGCCTGTGTGAATTCTACCAGTGAGAGCATGGGACCTGGTCAGCTATTTTCTGAGCCCTACATACACTGACCTGCTGTGTTACCAAGGTGGCTTTGGGATCATCTCACATACCCCAACTGATATCTCATTCCTTAACTTTTTCTTTTGAGCCTTTCACTAGTCTGCAGGCAGCCAGGAAGTGCCTGCCATTGTTTCAAAGGATTTCAGCACTAATGAGTCTGCAGGTCCTGGTGGAGCTATACACAGCCCCTCAGGTCAAGTCTCCCAGGAGTCCCACATGGGTGTGAGGGTGAGGGTTCTTCTGGACAGTGAAGGAGCTCTGGCCCCATTCCCAGCACTCTGTGCTGTTGGTTCTCCCCATAGTTTAGGCAGAGCCAGAGCTTAGCAAATATGAGTGACCAAATACCTGACAGAAGTGACTTAGGAGAAGAAGGGTTTATTGTAGCTCACAGTTTAAGAAGGTACAGTCTATCACAGTGAGGAAGGCATATTGGCATGCAGACTGGAGCTTGTTCACATTTGGGAAGTTCAGAGAGCAGAGATGGGGTCTTAGTACTCAGCTTCTTTCTCACTTTTTATTCAAACCGAGACTCCAACCCATGGGAAGATGCCCTTACAAATCTTCTTAATGCCCTGGGCGTTTCTTAATCTAATCAACTTGGCAAACAGAATTGACCATCCCAGCTGTCCATCCTGAAGGCTAATGGCATTGGGATGGGGGAGTTAGAATGTCACTAACACAATGAAGATCACAACGTTCTTGCTACTGCCCAGGAAGCTACAAGCCTTGGATTAATTCCCAGAGTTCTAACAAAGGTGTTTCTGACCATATTGACCACTGTTTATTATTTAGGGGTGGTGTTGAGGATAGAACCCAGGACATGGTGCAGGCTAGACAAGTACTCTGCTCCTGAGCTGTGTACTGAGTCAGTCTCTCTCTCTCTCTCTCTCTCTCTCTCTCTCTCTCTC